GAGAAGTTAACCGCCAGTTAATTGACTTTTTTGCCGTATGAGTATACGTTGCCCAGGGTGCTCCACGTGGAGGTAGGTCTATTATGCACCCCATAATCAATCATAAAAATGGTTAATTAAAGGCAATTGACCTCTGCAGCATATCAAACGAAAAACTGGGAAACCACAGTAGTTTCCGTTGTAATGATGTTAAACATATAGTTGACATTTTGGCCACAATACCAAGAGGTTGATTAAAACTGCGTCAAAGGAGACATCAAATTTTCCCGATTAATGGAATCACATTTATTTATTTATATCAAAAAGCAGGTTATATGATAGTTATCATTAGCACTTTAGTTGACTTCGGGCTTCATAGAGGGGAGAAACTTTAGGGTCACAAAAATTCGTGAGGGGAATAGAAGAGTGATTCAGAAATGTAAAAGAGATAGACACAAAGGTAGAGTAAAGGTAAGGTGAGCACTGTGAAAGTGGTCGAATATGACATGCAGTTGGATCATGGTATTTTAAGTCAGAAGTCAACTGTCGGTTTATGAGTTTACGTTGTCCAGGGTGCATCACGTAGAGATAATTCTGTCGCACACCCCAACTCTTAGTATATTAAAGTTCTTTAAGTTATTTCTCCATTAGATTTAGCACTTTTAACGAGGGCGTTGTTCTTGAGTTGTCCTGCATGGTTTAATAAGGCCTTTGGTTGTAATGCGAAAATTGGTCATATTCAGTAGTGGAGAGGAGATGCGACACCACTATACATCCAAATCTGGCATTCATAAACAAAAGGTGCATTACTGTTGATGGATTGTAAATAGGCTGATCTTGTAGCCTATCTGGACAGCGAGCAGGCCAATTTGAAGGAAGAAAATCGATGCGAAGCTGGTGCCTGAGGCAACTCAGCCACAATCCCTGAATATCTGGGACTGAAGGAACCACTATGTCAAAATCCCTGCTCACCACCCTTGCGCTCTTTAATGCTTCTTGGCTGATCATTTTATTATTCCTCATTTAAGTCCCTGCAATCATCACTTTAAGATGAACAAGAATAGCACCTTGTTTCGACCGCACCCCACCCCAAAAAAGCATCCCATTCAGTTACATTCCCAGCTTTAAGAAATCCCAGGCGCCAAGCGCCTGATAGCCAATCGAATAGCGCACCATTTCTTACCATGGAAATCCTGAAATACGCGTATCTAATCTAGGATTCCATTTTGTCCATCAAAAGCCAGTATTACGCACATGACTCAAAACTGCGAAATCCCGAATGCTCATCATTCCTATTTAACCTTACCAGGAAGCCCTTTTAATATATGTAAAGGGAGTTAAGGGAAAAGAGAAAAAGGTAAACTGTTTTATTATAAATAATGAACATTACAGTGACATTATATACAAGAACAAAATTGCTTGATCATTTTAAAGTTATTCATCATTTAGTCGATCCGGATCATTACCTGCTCCACCCTGTCTCATAGCACTATATGCATTAAAATCGGTCATAGCCGATGAGTAGCCCAAACCAACACCTCGTTGGGTATGAGTTAGAGTCCGCGATTGCTCATACTCTTGCTCCAATTTCCTGAAGAGGTCAGCCTGTTCACGAGCCTTGCTTGTGGATGCACCTGGCTTTTCAGTGTTGAGTTCTCCGACATCGTGAATTCCCATCAACTTGCAAAATTTGGCCGCGGCAACAGAATCGCCTTTTCCAGCTACCAATGACGTTGTCTTCCACAAATTCGATTTAGCATCCTTAAAAAATGGAAAACATCGATGCGTTAACAGGGAGTTAACAAATGCTTCATTTACCCTACTCCTAACAAAGCAAAATAGTATTAAATGGATTTATCTGCTTCTTTTAAAGAAAGCACAAAATATGAACTTATCGTACTTTCAACGAAGATCGTTCAAAGCGGAGAGAAGGCCAAGATTTCGAACTTCCAACATTGAGGGCCAAGACTAGAGACGTTTGATAGTATCATCCGCTTGAAAACAAATGTAAGCGCAAGGGACAAGCCCTTAGTGATCTCGGTCTATCATATCATACTCTTTGTGGGAACTTGCAGACTACTACACATATATTGACATACATATATATGTATATATATATTACTACCTATGTTACAGCGAATACGTGCTTAAAAGAATACATAGCTCACCTCTTTAGAGTCCTTTGAAGGGTTAGACTTTTTAGACCAGAGGAGTTTTCTCTTCTGCTGTTGCTCTGCCATTTTTGCAGCATTCACGGAGAGTGGATTATAGTAACTGGGTAAATTGGCTGCCGCTGCGGCTGCTTCTGCCTTTGCACGAACTTGTGCCATCTGGGTCTCCTGAAATCTCGCTAGAGCATCTTGTGGATTGCTCTTGTCTACAAATTAAAATTAAGAACAATTTCAACCAGGTGAAAAAACAGTGGAACTCAAGCAAAATCGTAGTATTTCTAGTCGTAAGTGAAGCACGTAAGAAAGCCTAGCTTAGAAATCTCAAGAGAAGACTGAATGAATCTATTAAGACTGCTTTATTTCTTCTAAGAATCTACAAGCTTTGCTAAGAGAAAACGGACTCTGTTGTTAGAGAACGTTGTTGGGAAAAAAAGGTGTTAGGGTGAGGTGAGGCTAATAAGCCATAGGCAAAGAAGACTTCAATTACATGGCAGGTAAAAGTCGGAAAAGCAATAAGCGAGTTATGACAGTTAGCAGTAAATGCGAGTAGGGTCACATCAAAGTCATTTGGAAAGATGAAAGGTACTGTGATTTACATTCGCCTATAGTTGTCAAAGTTGCTAGGGTATTTGCCCTTTTTAGTACCGGTATTACTATGGCAACTTTCCATTGCTTAGGTACGAGACTGGTCTCACAGATTTTGTTGAAAAGCGTCAGCATGGTTTCCTTGGCTTTTGGTCCCATTCTAATTAGAAATTCCGGATGAATACCGTCTTCGCCAGGAGACTTCTTGCACTTTAGCTGTTTTATCGCAGCATTAAGTTCGCAAGGTCTGAATGGTTTAGTAAGTACATTATTTGGTGTTGTCATGTCTTCCTTAATTTCACCCATCTGTCTTACTTGTATCTTTAAATCTCTTAAAGATTTTCTGACAAAAGGGTTTTTCTTTTGCTTGTGGAAATAGAACCTTGCAAAGTAGTTAGCTATTTCGAAGTCGGTGGTAAGCAGTTTGTTTTTTAAACGTATTGGTTCTTTCTTGGGTCTTTCCTTGTTGTTTTGGAGGTTACCCAGGAATTTGAAAGTGCGTTGGCTATCACTTTGNGTGTCTTCCTTAATTTCGCCAAATTTTTACCCATTTCTTCATATCTCTTGAAGAGTTTCTGACAAAAGGTTTTTTCTTTCGCTTGTGGGAATAGAACCGTGCAAAGTAGTCAGCTATTTCGGATTCGGTGGTAAACAGTTTGTTGTTNAAATGCGACAGCATGGTTTCATTGGCTTTTGGCCCCATTCTAATTAGAAATTCCGGATGAATACCGTCTTTGCCAGGAGAATTTTTGCACTTAAGCTGTTTTATCGCAGCATTGAGTTCGTAAGATATGAGTGGTTCAGTAAGTACTTTATTTGGTGTTGTCGTGTCCTCTTTAATTTTGCCAAACTCCTACTTGTATCTTTAAATGTCTCGAAGATTTTTTGACAAAAGGGTCTTTCTTTAGCTTGTGAAAATAGAACTTTCTAAAGCAGTTAGCAATTTCGGAGTCGATGTTAAGCATTTTGTTTATAAACGCATTGGCTCTTTCTTTGGTCTTTTCCTGTTGTTTTGGAGGTTACCCAGGAAATTGAAAGTGCGTTGGCTAACACAGTGATAGTTGATATTTGAGATGAACTTGTCGAAGGATGTCCGTTTTGCTTGTAAGATGGCTTGCCTTAGGACTGCTGATTGTCGTCTCCAGGCTTGTACGTCTTCCATTCTTCCAGTCTGATCAGCCGTGTTGCGAAGGGCGTTCCGCTTTCTTTTCAGTTCCTCAAGGTGTTCAGACCANTATAGTTGTCAGAGTTGCTAGGGTCTTTGCTCTTTCTAGTATTGGTATTACTATGGTAAAT